CCCATTGCTTGTTTTTCTCAGATTTGTCAAAGATCAGATGGTTGTAGATGTGTGGTGTTGCCTCCGAAGCCTCTGTTCTGTTCCATTGGTCTTTGTCTCTGTTTTAGTACCAGTACTATGCTACTTTATTTAATGTAGCCTTATAGTATAGTTTGAAGTCAGGTAGCATGATGTCTTCAGCTTTGTTCTTTTTGCTTAGAATTGTCTTGGCTATACGAGCTCTCTTTTGGTTCCATATAAGGTTTAAGGTGATTTTTTTCAGTTCTGTGAAGAAAGTCCACGGTAGCTTGATGGACATAGCATTGAATCTATAAATTACTTTGGGCAGTATGGTCATTTCCATGATATTAATTCTTCCTAACCATGAGCATGGAGTGTTTTTCCATCTGTTTGTGTCCTCTCTTATTTCCTTGAGCAGTGGTTTGTAGTTCTTCTTGAAGAGGTCCTTCACATCCCTTGTTAGTTGTATTCCTACGTATTTTATTCTCTTTGTAGCAATTGTGAATGGGAGTTCACTCGTGATTTGGTTCTCTGTCTGTTATTGGTATATTGGAATGCTTGTGATTTTTGCACATTGATTTTGGAGGGCAACATCACACACTGGGGCCTATCAGAGGGTGGAGGGTTAGGGGATGGATAGCAGGGAGTGGGAGGATAGAGAAGGGATAGCATTAGGAGAAATACCTAATGTAGATGACGGGGTGATAGATGCAGCAAACCATCATGGCACTTGTATACCTATGTAACAAACCTGTACACTCTGCACACTTACCACAGAACTTAAAGTGTAATTTTTTAAAAAAAGAAACCTTTGTTTCAACTGTAAGTAGAAGCACATGAAAAAAGTTTCAAATTGAACATAACTACTAATATGTATAATCTGTCTACTAGGTATGTTTCTGTCTTTATAGATAGGTAGATAGGTGGATGGATAGACAGAACACTTTACAATTGGAATATTCAGTGGTAGAAAGAGAATTGGAAAAATATACCTGGTCTCACGAGTGGTGATGTAATAATTCCATGCAAAAGAAAACAAGCCTGATCTATGTCCAGAAGTACAGGGTTAAAGACTCATCCAGAAGGTGCTGGAAGAGATAGGGTTTTCCTAAGGGTCCATGTGATAGCAGGTAATAAACCTGAGGCCGAAGGAAAGGTAAAGAAGCTTAACCTGTGAGCTCCATGCTTTGGCAAACACATAGAGAGAAGAGGGAAGGTGGCCAAGGGTGTATTACTCCCAGACGACAGGAGAAACAAGCACTTCCACATTAAGCCTGTGAGTCCTAATGATTAAAGTCAATATTGAGCGCATAGTCAGAGACTATCGGGCACCTATGAAGGAAAGCCACTATCATGGGCAGCCAGAAATACAGCAAAGAGCACGTTGTGTATGGATTTTTGAAACCTTCAGATGCAGAATGTAGAATGGATGAGTATAAAACGTTTAAATAAATAAGAGTCAGTTCACAAAAATACACATGCAACTACAGGCCATTAGAAATGAAGACAGATGTCATGAAATTTTTAAAAAGCTCCTAGCAATATAAAGGATGATCGCTGAAAGTTTTTTAAGAAGCAATAATAGCACAGTTCATAGGTTGAAAACAGACTTGCAGCAGCTAAAGAGAAAAGAAGTACACTGGAAAAGATATCTAGGAAAATCCTTCAGAATACTTCTCAAAGAGAAGAAGAAATTTAAAATATAAAACACAACATTCTTCTCAGCACCACATCACACCTACTCTAAAATTGACCACGTAATTGGGAGTAAATCACTCCTCAGCAAATGCAAAAGAATGGAAATCATAACAAACAGTCTCTCAGACCACAGTGCAATCAAGTTAGAACTCAGAATTCAAAAACTAACCC